ATGCTAAGCTACGCTAATTGATGGTTTTAGCTTCATGTTTAACACACAGACATGAGTCATCAGTATTTTTTAACAAACTTTTGGCTGGAGAGAGAAGGACCACAGTCTCCAAAAGATTTTTAAACTCTTTGACAATGACTTTAACTTTCTGTAGTGATACAAAAAAATGAAATCATATGTTCATAGTGTGACGAGTTACTCTTTTGTTGTGAAAAGAAGATCAAGCCATTGTTGTACAAGTTCAAATTGCACCATATACCATATCTCTCGGACTTTATTTTTGCCTTAAATAAAAGAGAATTTCTTTCAGCTCCCATTTTTATATAAGAGGCAGTAATCCAGCTAATTAGAGCAGACATCCAGCAGAAACGTCTAGTCGAGAGGTAATATTTCAAGATGCACAATTATACCGTTTTATGATTTGGCTGGAGGCTGTGACAGTGATTGCTTGCTCATAGCACCATCATGTTTTTTTTTTTTTTGAACAGTTGAAAATGGAAAGTGCTTGCAAAATGTATTATGGTCATTTTATATTATGATACAGTTTAAATATTACTTAATGCAGCTAAGAGAGGAGCAGTGATGAAGTTAAAAAGAAGCAGTGTTGTAATGTGAATTCAGGAGCAGAGTAGGAATGCATTCACAGAAACTGATCAAGCGTAGTCAGGACTTGATATCCGCAGGTACTGCCATGTTGAAACGCCTTTCAGCCCCCTGGAAGACTCAGTGTTTTCTTCTTCTTTTTTTTTTTTCTGTCAAAGTTCTCCATGAAAAGCAACTTCTAAAACTCACTCTCTAACAAGCACAAGCCACACAAATGAACTAAAATCCCAGCTCTCAAAGGGGTTATGCTCAGTCTGTGTTCATCTCATTTAGCGGCGAGCTGCTTTTGGTTTGCTTGAGGCTTTTGCCTAGGTGAGATCATGTGAAATAAGAAACTCATAAGTCAAGTCTGGTTACTATTTTGCTGAAGCAGTTGCTAAGATACTAGCGTGCTTGATGAATTGACTCATTACATGAAGCAAACAGTTTCATAAGTGTGATTCAAGTTCATTGGTTTCCTTGCAGAGAAATTTCACTTGAGTATCAGCACTGTCAAAAACATTTTTAAAGTGCGGCTGCTTCATGCAAGAAAGTAATTACCAAAGGGAAGCTCGTGATTTAAATCAAACGTGATTGGTTGACATTTTCAAAAACTATCTGGTCAGAGCTTGCAAGGTGCATTTTCAAACGGACAGTACACATTGGCACCTCATGTGCCAGTTATTAAACACCTATAGACCTGCCCAAAAGCAATCAGGTTTCTGTTGCCTCCCATCTGTTATCTCAGCCTCAGTGATGTGAATTCACTGGTGGCTGCTGATTAGTTTTAGTCGTTCACGTGGGGTCAAGCTGAACTTTTACATTTCTGAGTGGCCCCGTTGTGGTTTTATTCCTGCTAATAAAGGAGGCTTGATGAAGCATCCTCCTCATCTTTTCCTACATCTGTAGATGAGCACTCTTTCGGGCCCACTCGTCCATTCTGCGTCTCGATATCCTTCTGAAGGGCTTTCTCGGGTTGAGATGTGAGCCTCTAAATGTGGGTTCAGGGACAAGTGTGAGTGTGGTCCTCAGGCAAGCCCCACCGAGGGCAGCGAGAGTGGCAGCGACGGCTTGGCTCGAAACGCCCTACTGACTAATAACCATAGGTGTGAATTAAAGCCGTGAATAGGCTGTACATTCATGAGGTCGATCAGTCCTTGCAAATGTGATCTGTATTTCAGGAGTATAAGTCAATGTTGAAAATGACAGCGATTGCTATTAATATGCATGTCTTCAAAATGCTCTTTAGTTTCCCATTTCTCATTTTGTACTTTCACTTCTCACAGACATACATCATGTGCAGGGGAAAGCAAACCATGTGCCATGCAGTGCTGAGAAGCTGCAGGTTTCCATGACAAAGACATTCACTAATCAGAAAACTTCAGGCAGATAACACGTATAAAGTAGTGACATCATCATTTGACGTATTGTAATGTTATGTTTTCTTGTAACTTTTTTTTTTTTTTTACAGCCTTTGACGTATGTGTGCTCCTGTTTAGTGGATGTGTCACAGACAAAACTATACTTTTACCACTGATAATTGATTGCTGTTAAAAATAGGTTTCAATGTTCTCAGGTGGTAGGCTGCTGGATAGTTTAAAATAATCCACCTGTTAAGCATTGCATTTCTTTATTGCTGGATTCAAGATGGAGGGTAAAAAAAACAAAACAAAAGACAGAGACGTTCGCTGTGTCCCAATTCAGTGGCTGAATCCATCGGAGGAAGAGGTCTACGCATAGGCTGAACTGAAATGAGACGATCTGGCCAACAGAGGGTTTTCGGCTCCAGTTGCCGAGCAACTTTGACAACACATCATTTTTTTTCATAAAAACCTGAGGTTTTAAAGCCCTAGGTTTTACCGTTAGCCTTTCATTGGCATGAATCTTGGGATAGATTGGGCCACCTGTTGGAGCCTTCATTGCCCAGAAAAATAAAGCTGAATTCCTCAGCTGCATTTGAAGGAGCCGTCAAAATGGGACAGCCTAGTCGCGCTGCTGTGATGCAATTGGTCTTCAATTCAATGCAGCCTCTGAAGGATGCAGCCCCTGAATTGGGACAGAGCTATTGTGTTTTTGGTTTTTTTTTTCTATTCAATGCATTCTTCTTCCCTGTTGAAACCTTGTACCCACAATGCAACTCAGCCACAGAAAGCTCAGATTGGGATGTATTATGTTATGTTAACTATGGTAGCGTCTGGTTACTAACCTCAAGTAGAGATACAGAGGGCTACAGAGGTCTGGGAAATTCATGTCTTTCATCTTCAGACTTGTTCAGTTCCAATCAACACTGACTACAGTGGCATCACTTGAAGCATTTTTTCAGGGTGCTTCATTGCAGTAATTGGGAACAAAATTGTGTGACGTAATAGCTTGAATCAAATTTGACCCAAAATTGGAAAAAATGACTGATTTAAAGTAATTTTATTTCATTTTTGGAGATGTGTGGGCAGTGGAAGAACACAACACTGACAAATTATCACCTTCTAGTTCGTATCATGAAAAGTTAATATGTACTTCCCTTTTACATACCTAGCAGATAAATAGCAGCAATGTTCACCAATTCCTGAAAAAATATCTGGCTCTTCAGCTGCTTAATGGTTAACTATGTTCACCAGCTAGTTGCTAACTTTGTCTGTTAGCTGTTTGATGTTAGCCAGGTAGCATACAGTCGTTTTTTTTTTTTTGCCTTGCTTCTGCTGGTTGATGAGAGCGGTGAGACTGAACTGAAACAGTGAAGTTGCGGGGTCATAAAACCATAAGTATGAGCTAAAACGTGCTAAATCAGTCTGTACAGCTGATGGGACTGCAGGGTCGGGTGATCATTTTCTGTGGGTTTGCACTATGAGTCAATCCTTGGTGTGATGTGGAAAACCCCAAGTCAAGACAAACAAAAAATATTTAAAAAGAGAAAATGAGACCCATGAAAATTTCTGTATATTATGTCCCTTGTGTCTTTGCAGTCGTTCCTTGTGGCCTCTTCTTCATAATATTACCCCGTTTCGTAACAGAATAGGAAAGGCTGCAGGCTCCCCCCCCCCCCCCCCCCCCCCCCCCCCATCAACTTTTTCAGTTCCTCCGGGACATTTTTAAAAGAGATATTTTCCGTGGTTCATTTGATGTTGCTGGTGTTGACATTGTGTTTGAAGTTTGTGTTTTTGATGCTTATAGTTCCTCAGAGACAATGTCGCAGGAAAGAAAAATAATGACAAAAAAAAAAGGGTTGTTGACAGAAATTTACATTAATGGTGGTTCGGTGGTCAATAGCAGTTTTTCGAAGACTCTGGGGTCAGACTCAGTCATGCATGAGATGCTGCATCTGCTGAGATGCTCCCAGGATCAATCCTGCCAACATTATGTTTTGTTTTCCTGAACAACCTTTTGGCTATGCATAACTGCAGATGGAAAGGCAAGAAGAATATTGTAGACTATTTCAGCTGCGTCTCTGCCAGATCAATAAACACCTTTTTTTTTTTTTGTGTGTGTTTCTTTCTGAAGAACAACTTGAGGAGGATAAATTTCACAGTAACGGAGGTAAAGTATTGTCATCTGAGCTCAAAAACACACTCATTCTGGCTGCTCACCTTCAAGGCTTTTTTTGTTGCGTCTGTTTCTGTCTCATTCAACAGAAAGTTTAGTTTTGGTGGAAGTCGGCTTGTGTTATGACTCATGCAGCTTTGCCCTGTTCTGTTTCGGCGCACTCTTTCATGTCTCTCACTCTTTTTGCTCCATCCATTCATGCTTAATCTTCTGCACATATTTGAACACAACTGCACTACTAATGTGTCCACATCAGACAACAGCAAAGATAATTCTTCATTACCCAAATTGAGCACTTGTTGGTCCACATGTCTAATGCCTGCTGCCAGGATTTCTCTTTCGGCTGCAATCAAGAAGTGGATGTTTTAGTAATAAGAGCATGTCAGGAACCAATTTAGTTTAACTACACACAAAAGCACATTTTCTCACTACCAAAGTGGTATCTAGACCTGCAGATAGTTCTGCTTTTATTTGCCCAGGTTTTGAAATTTCTACACAGAGTGCTCTCAATGCTGAAAAACTGTTATATTCAACAGCAACCTCGCTGTTTCAACAGTTTTCATAGGGACATTATTTCAGGAAGTTTTGCTGTTTCATTTTTCAAATGTCATTTTTAAAAAACATTAACAACATTAACCAAGTTTGATTTCCCTCCACAGCGTAGGTGCGGAGGGGAAAAGCTTACAGACAGACACCTTAAAACCTGTGCAAATTAAGTCTAAACTATTTTTATGGCTCGATACCGCGGCAGATAATCAAGAAAATATGTTCTTTTGTGATTAGTGTGAACCCCTTTAACATGAGTTTTACACAGTATGTCACAACCAGGGGTTATGTTGGTGTTATAACAGTGTTTGTATCTGCAATCTTCCTACAGGGAGCCAGGCGAAGCAGGACTGGTCCATCCAGTGGCCCACCTCTGAATCGGGCAAAGAAAACACCCCGGTGTGCCAGCCAGAGGCCAGTCAGTGGATCCGGTTCCAGCTCTCCCAAAGCCCCAAAGTCCAGTCCAAGTACAACCAGCACATGTGCCACAGCCCCCAGGCCCTGGCCCCCCCTTTGTACGTCGATCGACTCACCGTCGACAACCCCGCCACAGGACTCTTCCCTCCCTTGGACTCTGGTCATCGCTCCCTGCCCCCGTCACCCCGCCAGAGGCATTTTGGCCACACACCTCCTCGGACTCCCTTGGTGATCAACACCATGACCCCACCGGGCACTCCTCCCATGCGGCGAAGGAACAAAGTGAAGGCCCCAGGAACGCCACCTCCACCTAGCCGCAAACTCATTCATCTGCTGCCGGGCTTCACCGCACTGCATCGCAGCAAATCTCATGAGTTCCAGCTGGGGAACCGTTTGGATGACACGCAGACACCAAAGTAAGTGCTTATACCCCTCTGGATTTTTTATGGCAAATAGTGGTGGCCATTTTGGAGCTTGGTGTGTTGCAATGTAAATAAAAGTGTTGAAAATTCAAAACGTAGAGGTGGAACCTGCTATCACTCTCAAATTGACTGACAGGGCTTTTACCACAGGAAGGGATACTAGACAATAACAAGGTCAAAGTAATTCATGTTTTCTGAGCCTGGTGTTTACACCTGTAATCTTTGTAAACAGGCCAATATCCTCAAATCTGATTAGTAGACTAACACACAAAAGAATTATTTTAATCCTGAACACAAATTCATTATCTTGGTAAATTGCTCCTAATGTAACAGTCAGATAAATTTAGTGGAGGAAAAAGTACAATATTTAAGCTTGAACTGTAGTGGACTAGAAAATATAAAGGTGTATGAAATGGAAGTACCTCAAAACTGCACTTAAGTACATTACTTGAGTATATGTACATAGTGACTTCCCACTGCTGGGTATTATAAGACCCCTTATTGGTGTCAGCACAAATACAATGTGCATTACTGGCAGTAATGTTTGCACTGTTACATCAACACATCATCGTATTTTATGATCAGCCTCTCAACAATATTTTCTCCAGTAGGTGTCATGATTGAAGACTGTGTTAGATGAGGGTTTGTGTAATGAACTTATTAGAGATACAACTGTCTAGAAAGTCTTAAAAACCTAATTTTTCCTTTTAAAGAATTGAGTGTTTAATGATCAGTGTTGTACTTTAGGACTGAGGCTACATGGTTCTTATTGCACAAATTTGTTTCACTGTCAAAATGACCTTATTTATAAAGTTTCCTAGAGCCAATATTCCAAGTTAGCACCGCTCAGTCAGTTTCAGCAAATGGCCTGCCTGAAGCAAACAGTCAGAGATTTCAGTACTCCCTCTCCCTGACGTGTACAAGGTCTCGCAGTGTGATTCCATCTGATTCAAGTAGCACAGAAGGAAAGTTGGGCCCCACCTTTCCTTTCAGCAGTTTTACTCGAACATAATCTTCCACCGGAGCCCAATCAGATTAATTCCTAGGAGGACATCATTGCCTATAAAGAACCAACGGCCTGTCGGTAGAGATAAGGGGCCTTGGGCTGAGTTCCTGACCCGCCATGCCTCTGTCTGGTGCTATGCTGATCAGATTTGGCCACAAACAGGGTCCACCACTGCTAGGTAATCAGGAACCAGAGTCTGCCTCAGGAGAGCTGCACTCATTTTGATAATGCCATTAGATGACAGTGCCCTATCACTGCTACACTTGGTAAGTTAATATTTGGGAGTTGTCCTCTGCCTTTACGATGGCCATCTGGGTTATATTCGGTGTGTGCTTGGTTTGCGGACAGGACTACATCCACACGTCAGTGCACGTGAGTGTGTGTTCGTGTATCTGCACTGTGAGGAGTGGATCATAGCTGCAGTGAATAAGCTCAAACGTCATTAGAGAATTGATTACCGGTCCCTAAGCACTGATAGACTGCAGGCTGTGAGTTGAGCCCCTCTAATCAATGGCCTGTGTGTGCCTGGAAATGTTGCAACTCATCGAGACAGGGCAGATCTGCTGGCTTCTCTGGTAGCCAAGTACCTCTCATAATACATCATAATTGGTTGGAGGATGGCGCTGGCAAGCATCAAGTTGGTGGTTCAGTTCTGGCATGAGGCTCTCATACTTGTTTGTTTCCTATCTGTATGCAGGAGGGAATTGGCTTCATTGCAAACTTGGTATCTGTTTTTTTTCTTGATGGAAGAGCAAATACCTGAAGGTAGAAGCCTGAAAGGTCATAACGTGCTACATTTTTAAAAAAAATCTTTCATTAAAATTTACCATCCCTCACCTTGTTTTTCACATAATGGCTCAGGATGAAAAACAACTTGCAAAACATTTCACCGGAGCAAACCGACCCTGACAAAAAAAATTTAACAATTCATACTTTAATGGTCGCTTTTCTGTGATACCCTGTTCCTTCAACACTACGCATATTTCCCCCTGTCACCAACCTCGGGATTTTAATAAGCTCACAGTGCTCCTTAGGTCCTCATTTTCTCTTGCTTAATTGCCTGGCACTGTGGCCAGGACACAATAACCAGAGATTACCCTCTGACCCCAAGAGACATTTTTCTCCCTTTATCTTAATGAGATATGGCCTGATATCTCATTATTACTGCATAACACAGCACAAAGACTATGGAGCTGAATGTGCAAGAATGCTTGGCATACCATGCTGATGGGAAAACTGCGGTTTGATTTTGACACTGATGGATAACTGACATTTCATTTAATCAAATATAATAATTGCTCATTGGAGTCATTCAAGTTGTCCTGATATCTTCAGAGATAACAGATTACTTAATTGCTGTAGTAAACATAAAGTTGATTGTAATCTGCTATGTGAAAACAGAAGAAATTGCACTGGTAATTGATACTATATAAATTTTTCAGATATGGTTAATATTCATGTTTTTTGTCTTAATACAGTCTAAAAACGTATTTATGATGTTACCTACGTTGTCTTTTGTCTCTAAAAGTGACATTAAGTGCCTTCTTAATTGCCTTTCTGAAATGTAATAGCCTCTATTTCAAAGTCAATTTGCCTTCAGGTGTGCGAGATGTGTTTTTCAGATACTGTACGAGGGTGTTCCTGCAATCACAGTCTGAAAATTGTTTCAAGTCGTTTGTATTGTAAAAACACTGCAAATACTCCGGTCTGTCGGTGTGAACCCTCATCTTCTGCTTAATGGCTTTGTGCTTCTTGGTTTAATCTTTTTGGCTGTGTGATAATGTGTTTTCTTTTCAGATCGCAGCGAACCACAGGCTGGTTTCCATCCCACCCTAGAATTAATGAGCAAATTGCCTCCTTACCAATGTGTTCAGTAATATGTATGGATCCAAGAAAATCTCACCCTGAGATGAAACAGCTGCCAATTTTGCAAGTCGTAATGCATTAGAGAAAGCAAACTTTCACCTGTGTGAGGAAATTGGAGTATAATTTCTCACCAGCTGTCGAGTGCAAGTCCAGAAACGTTCATTTTCATTTCGTATTGATTTGTAGTTCAGAACTGATTTGGTTCCCGGTCTGCTGACGGAGATCTTTGGGTCTGTTTGGGCCAGTAGATGCTCAGTTAGGGTCGTGTTTGACGGTATATATTTATAGGTGACTGAGCAGAAGGTTACAGAGCTGTAGATTGAGGCATTGATTCTCAGTAGAATGAGCAGCACTAAGACATTCACATTCATTCACAGTCATTTAAGGAAAAATAATATATACGTATATACTGTATATATATATATATATATATATATATATATATATATGTATATGATTTCATGACATAAAGTCCAGTTTCACTTACATTCAAGTGACAAGGGCCTCTAGTGGCTGTAGTAATTATGAAGATCGCCGTTGTCTCATGTTTTCTTGATCCCCTAACCCTAACCTAAAACTGTCATTTAACCCAAACCATGATCTTTCTCTAACCAAGTCGTTTTTGTGCCAACATCAAACCTCAACCATAGTGGTGTCGGATCACAGGACAGATTTATATTTCCAGCAGTGATTTGTAATGGGTCATGGATCAAACAACAAATTTTGTCATTCAATTTAGTTGCACCTGTTATCTTAACTTCCCTCTGCGAACCAGTATGACTATTGTTGGACTATACTGACAGATATTGTGTAGTGATTATTTAACTTTGATAAATTGTGGTTATTAAAAATGATTAATAACATATAATTATATTTATCTGTGCGTCAGACACAAGCCACGAGAGCATTAATCTTTAACCAGTGAGTCAAAGCCGAATAGAAAGGTCTGAACATGGTTGTTATCACTACAGCCTTTATTACAAGGAAACCTTCACTATATTGAATGAAATACTTTATTTTAGACTATATTTTATGACCTAGATATTGATATAGCATGTTAACGTTTTGTAAAACATAATTTAAATATATCTGTTTTTGCCTAATGGTCCTTTAATGGAGAATGAAGATACCACTGATATTGATAATATTTTCTGTGGTGTCATTTCAAAACATAAGATTACATTTAAATTTCCAGCAGATCTTTGGAGATGTACACTGAGCAGATTGTTCCTGTTCCTATGGTAATGAAGTAAAATTAGAACTTCAGGCATGTCTTTAACAAGTAGCATAATCTTGCCAATTAGCATGAAGCATGAAATCATTTGCAAATGACATGGTGGCCTTTCTTTTAGAGTGGAAGCCAATGAAGAAATCGTACATCCTTTTATGTTTTACTTTGTCCAGCCTCACATTTGCATGTAAGTTCTCGGATTTATACTTAGCTGGTTGTGATACAGTAAAACACCTTTTTTTGTTGTTGCATTTAAATCATTTTCATTATTGTAAGTTAAAACAACAGTTTGTTAGAAAATTTGTTTGTTCAGAGTTTGTTCAGCCTGAAGCAAGTATGCGGTGCAGAAACTGTTCGTTTCACAGTCACCCCTCCTGTTTGCATCTGCACCTTCTTTATCAATTTGTGAAGACTACAAAGTGGAAAAACACATTCCCCATACAATAATTATAGAGTTGTTTCCCAGCATGAAAAAAAAAGATATGCTGAGTTCAGGGATGTTGCCAAGTTTAGGGGAATTTAGGGGAGTAATTAATTTGAAATAAGTTTGAGTCATTCAGTGTACACTCACAGTAAATATGCATATGCAGTAAGGGACTGAAGTTTATATTTTAATAATTTGTTTTTACTTGATTTACTTTAATTTGTGCAGTATCTTTTTGTTGTGAAATTGGTAGTACCTCAATAAAATGTAGGCAGCAAATACTTTTGGCTTCTAATATACAGGAAGGAGGATGTTGACATTTGACAGCCAGATGTTAATCATTGATGAAAAGCCCACTATAATGAACGTAACTTAAAGCAAAAGCTTTGAACATTTTATACAATTTCAAGCATTTTTATAATTTATTGTGAAGTTAAATTACAAGAAAGGGTGTGCAATAGGGTCTA